TATTCTTAATATTTTTATTATTTTATAATTAAAAATTTGAGAAAATAATACATTTTACATTTTTGAACACCCGACCATTRAACGCATGATGGCCGACACCAGTAGCGAATTGGACGAAACGCCGAGCATCGAGTGCTTTCAGAACTACACCGCGCCCGAGGTGTTCATACAAGGCATCGCTGGCATTGTAAACCAAGAAGATGTCGAGTCAATGATCATTGCACAAAAAGAGATGTAAACCAGAGTTCATTAATTTCTATGATTGTGTGCTTGGATGTGTGTTTGTCTCTGATTTAAGGTTGCAGCGTTTCGAAAAGACCAATGAAATGCTGACCAACTGCAATTTGTTGTCCACGAGTCACCTGAAAACCACTAGCCAGGAACTGAAGAAACACACACAAATGTTGGCAGAGTTACGCAAGGACTTGGACAGTACATTTAAGAGGATAGCTGCAATCAAGTCCAAGATTAARGTCCAATATTCRGATGTTCAGAAAAGTAAGAATTATTATGTACCTMGTGGTTAATTAGATGTCTTAATATTATTATTATCAATGGATTACAGGCATTTTAGARGAAAAGCAAAAAGAGCTGGAACAAAAAACCGTGGATAGTTCATCTAGTGGCAGCGCTAGTACTGCTTCTCCATATAATTCTGATACAAATTGAAATACATTTTTTATTCCATCATTTCCATCAAACATTTTTGTTATGATCTCAGTGTATATAATATATTATATTCATTATGTATTTAAAATATTAAATATATTTTGTTAAATGCATGGTCTTAGTAATCCAAAATGAAATGTTCATTATATTTTCTTTATACCTATTTGGCCTATTTGTTTACTTAGGTAAAAAGTAATGTAAAAAAAAATTATACTCAAGGCTAATAGAGTAAGAACACTAAAAATATTTTATAATTTGAATATTAACTCAGAATAAGATCATAGAATATATTCAGATTTGAAAAAAATCACCAAAGTTGGTAGGTGTATAATTTAATGTTCAAGAAGCTGTGATGTAATAAACTAATAACATTGAAAATATTAATAATTAATAACTTATACTGCCATCTACAAGTATTATGTATTTTAATTTAATTATTAATTTTAATACCTATAATACACTTACTATATTAGTTGGAAATGTAAAATTTCTGAATTTAATTCTTTTTTTGTAAAATTTAAAATGTATTATTGAACATGCATATCTAATGAGTGATACATTTTTATACTACAAATGTGYTTTGGCTTTTAACTACTCTTATTTAAAAATTGTATGTAWATGTCTGAAAAACTATTTGATATATTTTATAATTTTGCTTCATTATAGCTTGATTAATTAATATACTTTTTAAATTTTCTTGTTAAATTATCCAACTCATACTTTATGCTTGTATAATTTACACCATTTGATTCGAGCTACTGCTCTTAAAATATTTAAAACATGGAATTAAAGAATAGGAAATTAAATTTAAGGGCATTTAACCCACAACATTTATATATTGTATTTTCAAAAATGTATTACAAATAATTYGAGTTTAATAAATACATTTTGATTACAATATACAAATTAACTTAGAAAATATTTTTATAAGTTAAATGGATAATAAACATCTTGTCATAGAGTATATTCTAGTTAATTATTCAGGTATTTTTTAATTCAATCAGATAAAACTTTTTGATCTAACTGTAAATTTTGACCTCTTTAATCTCAAGATCAAGGCAAAATAATAATCCATTATAGTATAATATATACTGTAATTTTAATTATTTTATATTATGATCAAGGGAAAATTTGTGATGTAAATACAAAAGTAAAAAGTATGAGCCATTATRTAATGCATTTTAAGATAGGTCTTAAGCCCAATTCTGACCAAAGAAATATTTGTTGAAAACATGTTTCCAAAAAATATTCCTAGGTTGGGATGCGGCTACATTCATATTTATGTCAAATCATAAAAACAAATCTGAAATATTAGTATCAAAGGATTTAAGTATTAACTGAACATTATTTGGTCTTAAATATTATATTTCTGTAATAATGAATAGATAAAAAAAACAAATACAAATTTTYGTCAACATATTATAAAGCAAAATAAAATAATGATAACCAGTATAATTATAATATTATATTGGGAGTATAATCAGTCTTTCATAATAAAAATAAAAYAAATAATACATATTGCCACACATCGTACGATGGGATATTATAATTAAATCATTGCATCTATGACGTGACTATAGCAGTCGTTATTTTATTCTCTCACTAAACACTTAAAATGGTGTAAGGATTTGTGTGATATGGTATGTATAAGGTATGGAGGATTGGGAATATTTTCACTATTAATACTGAATGATCGTAATTTTTTAGACTTTATATTTTCTCCTTAGTGTACTCAAACTCCATTCAGTCACTCCTTGTTCGGCCAAATCTTGCTGACCAGACTTGAGACTCTCCTCTAGTTTGTTGAACAAATTACACAACGTGTCCAATTCTGTTGAACTCAAAAACTCAATGGCCAATTCAAATCTAAATTWAAAAAAAGAAAACTAATTAATTTAAAATATTAAGTATACTAACTATATTATTCTGTTTGACCTGTAGTAAACATACCTTTTCGTCCCGGTGATCACGTCTAAAAGCCTAGTGACTGCCACTATGTCAGGAACACTGTTCGACGGGAATATGAGTAGTGTTTCGAGCAGTTCGACCAGAACAGACGGAGGTATTTCTTCAGTGTGAAACGTGGAGGCTACATTTTCAGCACCGTGTAGGCTCAAGTACTTGTACCTGAGTTTTGCTGTGCTGAGACGACGGAAACTCAAAATAAACTCTTGGACTATTGGAGAGCAAGCGCTCGGTATGTTATCCTTTAAATCGACGTCTGCGGCCTAACGGGGGTAAAAAAAACAGTCCGCGTATAGGTTAACATAGCACGGDGTCGCCTTTAGACGTCGTTGTGGGATAGRTACTCACCGCGAGATCAGAACACTGCTGCTTGCTGTCTTGCATATTGTGAGTTGCCACAACGTTGTTCCACACTGTCGGYGGGTTGCTCTTGCACTCGATTTCTTTCTTGGTCAGCGGACGCAGATGAGCCGCCTTGACAATGTCGCTGTAAAACGTGGCACGCGTTGAAAAACTATGCCYGGCGTAGGACGTGGAGCCTGTGAGGCTTACCTGAACTCTTGGTAGGTAGACACGCTCTTCACGGCCCTCAGCTTGGCGTCGTTCTGTTGCCAGTAACGGACGTCTTTTTCTACATTGTCGATCAGTTCATCTTCGAGACTCTTGAAATCCGCGGACGAACCCATTAGTGCCTGGACGGCGAGTGTTGGGGAGATGCAGCTGGGATACGTCTACTTGTACCGCGGACACGGTGTGCGCCGAAACGCCGTTCGATGAGTTTTTTTTCTCTCTTTTCACTCGATGATAAAACGACTACCGTCTCAGCCCGTTTGCTGCACCGACCACCAGCTCGCGACAGCAGCTATCTATCTAGGTATATCACTATTCGAAATTTGATTAAGTTCACTCCGTCTCGCGGTTTGTTTTCTCCATGAGCTGCTCGTTGCTAACGTACGGGGTGGTGGTGTGCTCGGGCGGTTTGACGGTGTTGGGTGTTGTTTACGCCGACGGCCCCGTCGCCATGCCAACCGTGCCCAGGACTCGGGAGCAGCGCCGTCCGGATCAAGTTGTGATGGGTATATGGCTCTATTGGGATCAAAAAAACTAACGGGCATTTTGTCCCGGGAAAACAGTACCTGGTGCTTGAGGATGTATAAGTGGGTGGT